CTGGGGTTAAACGATTGCTCTGGCTCCAGAATCCCAGAGAAATTCCAAACACAAATTCCAAACCAGCTGGTATTTCACTGCCTTCCTCTTGCCAACAGAGCTTCTGGAACCGTTTCCCATTTTGTAATGGGAAAATTTATTTAGCCAAGCAAAGTTTTCAATTCTTAATCCTTGGCAAAAAAAAGACTCACCCCTTTCATTTTGCAGCTTTTCTCTAAGAGAAACAGGCAAAATCTATGTTGTTTTAGCTTGAAGTCAGTTGAAGGAAGTTGTATCTGCAAAAAGCTGGAACATTTGGTTGTAAATTGGGATGGTTTAATCTTGCTCTAGATGTCTGACATTAAAATATTGATTAAAATTATGTAGCAAGGGAATCTCTCTGATAGGACCACAGTTCTTTAGTAGTTCTTTTTGCAGTATTAGGAATTCAAAAATAAAAATATCACGTGGTTTGAACAGCATTCAACCTTGTTGGTTATTTTAAATTTTACATATTAAATTTTTAATTATACAGAGAAAAATTCCTGTGCATCCTGGTCCATTTTGTCTTTTGTTTGAGTAATCAGAGTATGAAGTGTAAATCCTTTGCAATTTAATTTTAAAAAAGTTTTTGTTTTCCTCTGTTTTCCTGTTGAGATGCTGGACTGAAATAGAACACTCAATAGCAATATGTTATTCTAGCAAAGCTCATTTTCAATGCTAACAAATTAGAATATTTAATGTCATTGTTATTCTAAAGGAGTAGTTCAACCTGTAGAACACAGGTGAGTTTCCTACAACAAATTAAGGTTCAGATAATATGGAAAATCCTGACATTTTTATGTAGAAGGACTTCTTGGGTCTTCTTGCAGAGAAAAAAGGGAGATTTAGCAAAGAGTTAGGACAAAAATGGGAATTATTTCCTAATCTAATTTTACAAGTTGGATCACCTCTTTAAATTATGCCCAGAATGTTATCTTTCTTCTTAAAACCTTTTATTAGTCAATTATTTCCCAGTGCAACAATTCTGAAAATTCCCTTTGTAATCCAAACTCAGTACCAGGTCAATACTGGCTTTGGATTGGTATTTTTAAGCCTTGGTAATGCAGCTGTAGTTTGACCTAGAAACCTATTTTGATCTGCTGGGTGTAACCAGGGCTTTTTAAACATCTGTCTGGGGGTTCTTCTGCATGGGAGAAGCTGCTTGCAATCGAGATGTTGTGGGGAAATAATCCAAAGGCTTAGGTGAGATGTTTGAAAAAATTTTGCAGGGGTCATGACTGGGGGAGGATCCTGGCTCAGTCCCTTGCAAGCAGGTGATGGAACAGATTGCAGGTGACCTGTGGGGAGCAGAAGGTCCTTGCTGGAGCTCCCTGTGGTAAATCTCAGCTCAAAACCTTTCCCTCTTCCCGCTTCCAAGGGTTATGGTGCCTTTTTGGGCTACCTAAAACCAGAGGCCAGACAGAATTAAGGGAATAAAAAGCAGTTCTGTTTATTGAAGAGTCTGCAGGTAAATTTCAGGCAGATGAAATGTTCCAAAAATGGACAATGTTTTACAGGTTTTTATACTTTTATAAGTTTGGTCCATTTGCATACTGGGGGTTCTGCTTGGGGTTTTGCCATGTCATCCCTGAATTTCCAGCTAGGCCATTACTCTGGCTCTAATTAAACTCAAATGATGAATATTTGTCAGGCTTTTGACATGTTTATTCTTTGTCAGGCTTTTGAGATATTTGTTGTGAAACCAGCTGCACTTGTTAATAAATGGGGGCGTAGCACTGCCAGGAATACAGCAGTGTAAATAATGATGGCAGTGGTTGATTCTGCTAAAATCAATATGAAATTGAGGAATATTAGACTGATGCTGCGTCAGGGCTATCTAAATCAGAGGCCAGGCAGAATTAAGGGAATAAAAAGCAGTTCTGTTTATTGAAGGGCCCGCAGGTACATTTTGGGCAGGGGCTACTCCCAAAATGGACCAGGGGTCAGGGGTTTTTATACTTTTATAACTTTGGTCCATTTGCACATTGGGGGTTAATCTGCCAATCCCAGCTGCAGGCAATGAAGTCATTGAGCCCAAGTTTGCTCCCCCCAAGGCCCTTTTGTTCCCATCTCTGGGCCCTGAGGCAGTGAGGTGTCCTTGATTGCCAGGCCTGGAGAGGAATTGTTGTGTGTGCCCAAAATGGGAAAGCTGCAGCTGACACTGGGTGTGGGGTTTGGAGTGACACACTAAAGAACTGCAGGAGTGCAAATAAATTAAATATATAACAAGCTAAAATGCTAAGGCATCAGTTCCATGCTCTGAGGGGTCACTGAAGCTGCTCCCAGTGAATCCTTGCAGAGTAACCCCATCGGGCTGTCCTTGTTTTCCAGGTGCCATGAACCACAGAATTCAGCGAGAAATAAATTTAGCTCCAGCCCAGCAGGAAGTTTCAGAGGCAGCAGCTTCTGCAAAGGGATTGTCAAGAACAATCTGCAAGGAGGCTGCTCCTGGCATATAGATTTTGAGCTGGAACAGTGCAGGGAAGGAAGTGCTCCGTGCCAGCTCTCAGCACCATATGCTTGCCCCTAATGTAATGCACAAAGAATATGGAGACAGCAGCTGCTCTGCAGGGAGGTGGCCACTTGTTAGATTTTGAAACCCTTCTGAAGTGTCTGTTCCTTTTCTTTTCAGGGGTATTTTTTTTTCTCCCCCTTGCTTACGTATTTGCATTCAAAAGATGTTCCCTGAAAGGAATCTATTTTTAGGCTGTGGTAAGAACAGGGGAGTGTGATCTACTTTTTGTTGAGATAAAGGTGATTTTGGAAGGACTCTGATAGTTAGTTTGGTTTTTTTTGAGAAATGTGAGCAGGTTTTTATTTTCTTGATTTCCGTTGGCATCAGGGCATGATGAAATCATATCTATAAATTAATTCTTGTCTAGAATTGTCTGGCTTTGATGGAAAACTTTGTTTTCATTTGGGTTCCAGGAGTGTTCCAGCAGCCTGACCACATTCACATTTAGTTCAATGACAATTTTCATTGAGTTCAGTGGCAAAGAGGAGCATAAATGAGGATTTAGATCTAAAATGAGAGGAGTTGGATTTAATGTGCCCAGAGGAATGGATCTTCCCTGGTACCCATCACTACCCAGGCACTGAAGTTGGTTCCTCTGTTGCTTTGAGAAACCTGAAGTTCCTGGCAGATTTCAGGAACTCTGTGCCTGCAATGCCAGGAACACAAAACTTATTTAAGTAAACAAAACTGGATTTTAAAAGGTATTTTTTGACTCCACTGAATTCCAGATACACCTCACTATGAGCACTTCCATTTTGAATTAGGGATTCTTAAATGAATTTGAGAATCCAGTGGGAAGTTAGATCACAGTATAATGAGGTTACAGCAGGACAAGTTGTTATAGCAGGTAATAAAATTAATGTATCTCACTGGCATTTTTGCTGAATGTCAGTGTTTTACAGTGACCCTGGAGTGATGTTAAAATGTCACAGCAGCACCAGACTGACCCATATTAGTCAGTAAAAATGATGGTTCACATAAAAGAAAGGTGTTACAATCCTTTTTGGAAGGATAAATCTCTTTCAGACAGAGAGTTTTGGGTTATTCTGTGTTGTTCTTTGTAGCTGTTTCTCTCTGAAAAAAAAAAAAAAGACATTTATCTACCTGTCACCAGGTATCAGTCTTCCTGCTGGTAGGGACATGATTCTTTTGGAAAAATTAATGTTTATTTGTTTACTGCAGTTCTAGGCCAGTCTGTGATCTATCTGACTTCCATTTTTTTAAACTAGCTGCAATTGGTGGTTTTCTGGGATAATTAATTATTAATCCTCATTTAAAAGGCTCCCTTTTGGTGGCCACACTTGTTGCATGAATTCACATCCAGTAGGGTGGCTGATTTGCAGCTTTAATTTCCTTTGTGTGCCCTCATCCCAGTGATGGACAATGTAGGAAGTTCTATCTATTAGGGATCCCATTGCTGAAGTAAACTGGATTTTAAAGTGAAATTAAACACGGATTCTGAATACAGTCCTGCAGTCCTAATTCTGCAAAATGTGAGGTAAATGTTTAACTCACATTGAAAATGATGACTTAGAGTCTTGGCTTGAGCCAAATCAAAATCTGTTTTCAGTACAAATTAAAGCTGTGAGATGATTTCCTGTTTTTATTCCCATAAGGGCAGTTTAGCCATGGCTTAAGGAACACTTTTAAATTCTATTGAGCATAAGAAACTGCAAGTTATCATTAGCTTATAGTTCACACATTGGCCACTTGAAGTCTGGCGTCCTGGCACAGGAATATTTTGTTTGGGGTGTATAACACTCCCAAGAATGTTTGTAAATTAATTGTTTATTTCTGTTTTGAAAGGGGATTTAAAGTTCTCCTTGTCCTTCCTTCTCTCCTTCAGAAGGACTAAGAATTGGTGGAAGTTGCACAGTGTTCAGCCCACTCCATTTTCTGTAACATACATAGAATTTATTTGTCTGAAGCAGCAGACTAAAGTAATTCTAGAAACAAGTACATTTAGATACAGGATTATTATTTCATAGATTTTTTTTCACTGAGATTTGTTGTTATGGTTGGAAGGAGATTTATTTTTATATAAAAATGCCTGGCAGGAAAAAAAGAAAAAGACAGAGTTTTCTTTAACTCCCTTTTAAAGCTGTGAAAATCAGCAAATTCTAAGCAAGAGAGAAAAGGAAATCCTCTGTTAGTGACAAGTGAGAATTGCTTGGTTTTCAGCCTAAGGAAAGTTGCTTCCTTTTTAATGGATTGCCCAACCATCACAAGCTGCCAATGGCTAATTTAAGAAAAAAGAAATGCAAGAGACCAAATGTGGCAAATATTGTCTAGAGAAAGGTTTCTCCTTGTGAGAAGATGCTTCAGGTCTGTTGGAGCTCCGTGGAATTTTTACCTTGATTTTAAGAACTGGAAGACTTGTAGCTGCACAGCTCAGATATTAAACTTAAGAATTGTGAGAGAAATGAGAGAAATTAATCTCCAATTTCTATTCTCCTCTCTCCAGCCACCAGAAAAGGAGGGCGGGCTGCCTCGCCAGGTGGGCAACAAGACGGAGTGTGGGCTCCTGGGCTTTGTGCTGGATCTGAAGCAGGATTACGAGCCCGTGCGCAGCCTCATCCCTGAGGAGAAGCTCTACAAGGTTTACACCTTCAACTCCGTGAGGAAGTCCATGAGCACGGTCATCAAAATGCCCGACGGCAGCTTCCGCATGTACAGCAAGGGAGCCTCCGAGATTGTTCTCAAGAAGTGAGTGCACTGCCTCCCTGGCCTCCTTTTTTCCAAAATTCAAAACATCCTGACACTAAAATGTGGAATTTCTGGTGTTTGGAGTTTGCTGCCTGCACCAGAAATGTGACACACCTTAGCAGCATGAGGGACTACTATTGTTTTTTTAATTTTTTAAAGTGTTTCTGGGAAATTGGCATGTTTTTCTTACCAAAGAATTGGGTCTGCTTTTGGTAATTTGTAAATGGATTCTTTACGTTGAATCCATTTGGAAAATAAGCACTTTTCAATTTCACACTAAGCTGCCAGCTCATTGATTATTGAGAAAATAATGCATGAAGGTCTCTTGGTGTCTGTGCAATAAGTTACAAATTCTCTCTGATATTTCAGTACTGAATCTTCTAGAAATTTACATTAGAAACTTAAAACCTGACATCAGAAGAGGAAAGTATTGACTGAAATGAGCTTATACAGGAAATACCTTGGCAGTCATGCACAAAGTCATGCACACTTGATGCCTTTTTGGAGCTACCTAAAAACAGACACCAGACAGAATTAAGGGAATAAAAGCATATTTATTCCCTTAAAAGATAAATAAAAGAGTATTTATTGAAGGGCCTTCAGGTACATTTAGGGCCGATGAAGCCCCCCGGGGGCTACACCCAAAATGGACAATGGCTCACAGGTTTTTATACTTTTATAACTTTGGTCCATTTGCACATTGGGGGTTAATCTGCCAATTCCAGCTCCAGATAATGCAGTCATTGAGCCCAAGTTTGCTCCCCCCAAGTCCCTTTTGTTCCCATCTCTGGGCCCTGAGGCAGTGAGGTGTCCTTGATTGCCAGGCCTGGAGAGGAATTGTTGTGTGTGCCCAAAATGGGAAAGCTGCAGCTGACACTGGGTGTGGGGTTTGGCATTACACACTAAAGAACTGCAGGAGTACAAATAGATGAAAAACATACAAACTAAAATCCCAAGGCATCACACTCAGTTTTTATTCTCTTTTCCCTGCCCAAAACAGGTGTTCCAGGATCCTCAACGCGGCCGGGGAACCGCGCATCTTCAGACCCCGCGACAGGGATGAGATGGTGAAGAAGGTGATTGAGCCCATGGCCTGTGATGGGCTGAGAACCATCTGTGTGGCCTTCAGAGACTTCCCCAGCAGCCCTGAGCCTGACTGGGACAACGAGAATGACATCTTATCCGACCTGACTTGCATCTGTGTCGTTGGCATTGAAGACCCAGTAAGGCCAGAGGTACGTCCAATTTTTATCTTTTGTAAAACTGGACATAACCTGAATGGTTTCTTACAGGTTTTATCTCTTTTTTAAATTAGTTCTTTCAAAGAAGCTGAAAATCAGCTTTAGAAATGGGTTTTAGTAGATAAAAAGGCAAATAATTAAGGTGATAAAATTCAAATATATTTAAATAAAGGAATATAGGGCTTTTTGCAGTGCCAGACTGAAATGATCAGCAGAGGTTTTGTAATGCTCCCACATGTTAAAGAATTTTCCTTTAAGCAGTGTAGTGATCTACAACTCTGAAAGAAGAGAAGACAAGTGCAGTGATTAAAATTGTCATGATTATAATGACAGTTTCCAGAGAAACTGGAGTTTTTGCCATTTATTGTAACAGTTGTCACTTTACTTAAGATTTTACCTACTTGTTTTTAATGTTGTATTTGAAGAAGGAAAGGCTGCAGTTGTCATGGATATCACATTTCCATGGCTTGTACAAATATATATAAAATTTACTCAGCTCACCTGAGTAAATCAGTAGTAGGTGTGCACATGGGAAGCACACCCTTGCTTCTACACTAGTAAATTACATTCCTACAGAAATACAAAGGATTGAGTTAGAGAATTCTTATTTCTTTGCTGCTTGATAATAATGGAGAATTATTAATTCCATGTTAGGGTTTTAAAATGGTGATAGAACTTTGGCACTAGCACAACACAACCCCAGGTACCAACAGCACGACTGTGCCTTGCCTCAGAATGGATTTTATTGGGTTTTTCTCCTCAATATGAAGGTTAAAATAAAAAGTAAATCTTGTGTAGGTGACTACTGGATGATAAACTCCTTATCGCCACAAAGAGCAGATAAACAGCATCCACTTTATCTGTCATCAGATGGTCTCCTGCTGCTAATCCATCTGTCCCCACGGCTGACATTGCAAGGCTTTCAAAATGTTGGAAAATGTCCTTTAGAAGTTCTGTCTGCAGTGCTCCTTTAATGCTCCAGTTCACATAGACGGATATTTTTCAGAAAATATTTTGCAGAAAATATAGATATTTTCAGAAATATTTTGTCAGTGGCCACTGGAACTGTGAATCAATCCTCTCCCCCTCCTAAATTAAATCATGATCCACGTCAGAAAACAGCTTTAAGTCAGGTTCTGTGTGGTGTGACAGACTGAGGGATTGGGGAGCAGTGGGATTTGCAGTTATTATGGAAAATAGCTGCAAACTCTCCTTTCATGTGGTTGTTAGGAGGGTGTTTTGTAAGAGAGCTGCTCTTATCTTGCAGGGAATAATTTTTTGGGAGCTGGAGGTAAAAGTGAATAATTCTGCTAAAAATAGAAGGCAAATCTTACTTCTATGTAAAGAATCAAAGAGATGAAGGCAGGAAAACATCTTATTTCTAAATAAACACTTGAATATTGTATTGAATTTCTTGTAGGTTAGCACCAGAACATGCAGGAACATTTCTATTTTAGTGCAAGTCACACAATAAAATATTTGCAATTTCAGGATTTTAGCAAATTTTGGACATTTGGGACTTGGGTTTTTGTTTTTTTTCCACCTTGTTTCTTTTGACTGCTTCAGAGTGGCAATAACATCATGAAAATATTTAAACCAATATTTAAATTATTACTACTCTGCACATTATAAGAAGCAGTACTTTAGGGGAAATAAATGAACCAATAAACCCTGAGTCAGGAGAAAAACATAAAGTTCAGAAAACTCTGTAAGTTTGGAATATCTGACTTGGTTGGAATATTGTAATGTGCATGTGTGAAATCCCCATTGCTGATGCAAATAGCAAGATGTTGAGCAGTTACAGGGAATATTTTGCCAGAATGAAATCTGCTCATTAAATTGACTCCCCACTGGAGCTTATGCATTTTCAAAGTGCTTTCTGTAGGGTGAAAAAAAGAACAAAAAAATAAGAATTCTTGTTAAAACTGCTGTTTTATCAGTATTCTCAATATTCACCGGTGTCAGGATTTATTTGGATGGAGGTGATAATTCAGGTTATTCTAATAAAATTGTCCCAATCCTGGCAGCCTTTACCTTCCCTTCAGTTACACTCCTGTGTTTTCTTGGGAAGAATCAGGATTCTCCTTTTCCCTGAGGTGATGTTGGGCTGTGCTGTGGATCCTGTGGGACACGGCATCCGGGAATGATCCCACCAGGTGTTTTGGAGAAATCCTTCCTCTCTCCTGCTTCCAGGGATATTCTTGGGATACTCAGGGAACTTTCTGGCACTCACATCTCCCCATACACTAAAAAACCCAATTTGAATGAGTTATTTATCACTGATGTCCAGCAATTGTTGAGTTTTCTCTGGAATGCCCACCATGGACACCCGTGGCTTTTCCATATTCCCAGGTAAATTCAGACACCAGCAGCTGCTGGATTTAGCAAGCACTGAACTACTTGCTTGATATTTATATTTTGTGGGTGTGTTTTTTATTTTTCTTTGATAAATACACAGGAAGAGAACAAACAGAGTGATGCCCTTCTCCTGCAGAGATTCTCTGTTGATCCTGACACTCTTTCTGGCTTGATTTTAATGAGCCTGAACTGGCTCACACTGATCTGCCAGAAAACGCCTCCAGTCTGTTATTTCTGGGAGATGAATGTAAATCTCTTCCAAATATCTCCTATTTATTTGTCACCTGATTGGGAAAGATATTCCTGCGTTGGATACTTGGTGCATGCGTGCTTGCATTGGAAATTTTGCTTTGCAGAGGGAAAACAAACCCTAAAAAAATTGTGAAATGTGTACTTAAGCTCTGCAAAACTGATGGAAAATATCTGCTTCCTCTGCCCACTCAGTCTGCCAACACTCTTTCTCCCTTACAGCAATAAAAAAATATGAACAATATTTTAACTGTAATTACTGTACACACTATTAAATCAGATACCACCCACCAGCTGTCCAGAAAATGACAGGAGAGGAAAACAGGATGATTTCTCCAGTTAGATGTGAGTTTGAGATGCGTTTGCAAGTGGGGCTGTCCTCCCCTGACCTTGCTCAATGGGACTGACCCTTCATGGGAATATCCTTTTTTTGCTGCTTGCACTGTAATTTCTTTTTCTCCTTCCATTGGGCTGGTTCTCCAGATTTCCATCTAAATCTGTCCTGTCCTATGCATGAGGGTCACCACAGCTCCAAGTGGGTACCAAAAGCATTTCCAATTGACAAATGGGATTTAAGCAGGATTATGAATGTGGAAACAGGGGAGATCAGGGGTCATTTGCTTCAGGAACAGACTGGACCTGATCATTCATTCCCTTACAGAAACCTATTTCACATCACTAAAAGGCTTCAGGTGGAAATGATTTTTCCAGGGTGTACAATTTGTGGGGAAAATATTCCCAGTTAGAGGTGAGGAAATGGGAAGATAAAGCCCTGTCCCTGAATTCTGCCCTTGATTTTGTGATCTGTGTTGACAGAGTCCTGCAAACAGCACGTCCTGTGGACACACTCAGGGTGGAGGGATTTTCCTGGGAATCCTGGGAAAATGCTGCTCTGGTCATCACTGAAGTGTTGGTTTAGGGAGGCATTTTGGAAAACAGGAACTCCACAAAATGCCTTTAATAAATATTCCCAAACCTGGTGTGAAATTATTGCCAGGTTGGGAGAACCATTATCTGTGGTGTGGTGGAGGAGTTTAGGGTTTTCAGTGCCTTCCTAGCCCCAGGAAGTCCCTTAAAGCCCAAGATTTGCCACACTGCCTCAGAGCCAGGTTTGTCATAAATGATTTCCACATACACACTCAGTGATGTATGTGTAAAGCATTTGTAATAGATATAAAAATATAATATATATTATAACATATAATAAAACACACAGCGGTATCCCCTACTTGTGGCTACAGAGGAAATAAAAATATCTAGAAATGCATAAGATTAGCAGTCTAATGTTTGAGATGATATTTCCTTTTTCCAGCATTTTCTGCACTAATGGATGAGATGAATCCACTCAAATTGGTATTGAGTTTCACAACACATTTATATCTGTGCTGGAGGTTGTGCACTGAATAAAGACAGAAATTTCCATTTTGATACCTTTTCTTAAATAGTTGTGTGATTTTAAATTATTTTATAATAATTGTGCATTGCCATCTTCTGAGTAGGGCAGTTCACTTCCCCGTAGCTCTGTGAAGGGCTTCAGCCTTCATGATGAATCCTGGGGTGCTCTAGACTCTGGAAGGTAAAAATGAAATTTAGAGAAATGGTGCTGTGCTGAAGAATGAAATCCAGACTGTTCTGGACATGTTAAACACATTCCTTATTCTCCCACTTTAAATAATGTTGCTGTTTTTCTCTAGAAGAAATAATGCTTTCATAAGAATAATGCAAAATAATGCAAAAATGTGATGAGACTGAATTAATTAGTTAGTGATATTTACTTAGAAATTGTAATTAATTAGGATGTAGTTTAAGGGAACATAATTTTTTTCCTCATCTGAAACTGAGCTAAAAACATGGAACCTTTCTATAGCCTTCATTTACTGAAGTACTGTATTAAAACACCTTTATTTAATTATTAGGAATCAATCTTTTCTCTTAATTCCTGATTTTATTTTTTTAAATAAGATGTATATGATGCCAAATCAGAATGGAGCCCCTACATTAATCTCACAGTCCATGTTATACTCTGAATATTTCTCTCTCCCCGATACATTTCCTGTGCAGAAGAAGTTTATCTCATGCATGAAAAGGCATTTGTAAAATAAGCTTCACTTTAATGATTTTGAAATATGTAAAATGTTAATTTCAAACTCCTGTATTTAGGAATTCCACCTGTTGATGAGCATGAATTAAGTAGTGCTACATCACAAAAACTTTTAAAATCTTGTTGGATCAGAAGGAAAGTCATTTTCTGTACAGAATGTTTGTGTTATCCATTCATATTTACATGTGTTGAGTAGTTATGTTCAGCTTGCTAAAGGTCAAAAAAGCTGCAGAGCACTCATTTTTATTCAAGCCAGGAGAAAGTTGAAGGAACTGATCTAAAAGATATTTTTTACTTCTTGATACAAGATTTACCTTGCTTGTGGAGTGACCCCAACTCCAGAACAGTCAAGTTACAATAAAACACATCTGATTCCTCTTCCTGCTTCAGGCATTCGTTAGCCTGAAATTTTTCTGGATGGGAACACCTGTCTTGTGTTTTATCTCTGATCCAGGAGTTTTCTTTGCCCTTGCCTTGCTTCTGTGATTCCTTGGAGTTGCCCCTAGAGCAGAGCCAGGCAAGGTTCAGAGAATAAAGTGGGGATTTATGAAAGCCTTCAGCAGGCCCAGCTTGGGCAGCCACAGCCTCCAGAGGCTGCAGCCAAGGTGGGCCACGGGCACGAGTTTGTCACACAATGATCGGTTTGGACATTCACAGATCAGGGGTTAATGCTCCAATTCTAGCTGCAGGGAATGGAATCATTTACCCCCAGTTTGCTCCTCTCAACTCACTTTTGGTTATACTTGTTGTGGCCTGAGGCAGTGAGGTGTCCTTGAGTTCCAGGCCCAGAGAGGAATTGCTGTATATCTTATAATGTGCACAATTTATTAGTATGGCAGCACCTGTGCGTAATCAATAATTTTATCTGACCAAAATGTGAAGACAGTTAACTAGCACTCTATGTGGAGTTTAGAGTACAGGATTTGAAAACTACAAAAGCTAAAGCCCTGAGGGGTCTCTGCAGGTGCCAGAAGCCATCCGGAAGTGCCAGCGAGCCGGGATCACCGTGCGCATGGTCACCGGGGACAACATCAACACTGCACGTGCCATCGCCATCAAATGTGGCATCATCCACCCCGGAGAGGACTTCCTCTGCCTCGAGGGCAAGGAGTTCAACAGGAGGATTCGAAATGAGAAGGGAGAGGTAAACAAAACCCAGTGAAAACACCAAAATATTCTCCTGCACTGATATGTGCCCCGTAAAGACCACTTGGAAACATTCCTGCTTTTTTCTCCCACTAAATATTTACAATTCAAAACAGTGGTGAAATTCCAGTCTTTACTCTTCCAGGATTAGTGCAGGCCTAATTCTGCAGTTTTTAGAACCACTGCACTGCTCAACAGGAAATCAAAATGAAGCCCATTAAGGCAAGGAGTTTAAGGCAAGGAGGAGAAGGAACCTTGCAGCTTTATGGCAAGGAGGAGAAGGAACTCAACAGCAATTTTGCTTCTAAAATGAAATTACTGAGAACCAGATCCTCTCATTTCTTTAATTTATTCCACTTTCTCTAATGTACTCACACAATGATTTGCATAAAAAAAATTCCATCCTTTGGAATGTTTTTAACTCCTCATCAAAGATGGAGCTTGTGACGGTGTTCACAGGGGTTCTTGGATGATGGAAGAGATGAAGATCTGACTCCATGTTTCAGACGGCTGATTTATTATTTTATGATATATTAAATTAAAACTATACTAAAAGAATAGAAGAAAAGGATTTCATCAGAAGGCCAGCTAAGAATAGAAAGGAAAGAATGATAACAAAGGTTTGTGGGTCGGGCTTTGTGTCTAAGCTAGCTGGGCTGTGATTGGCCATTAATTACAAACGACCACATGAGACCAATCACAGATCTACTTGTTGCATTCCACAGCAGCAGATGATCAATGTTTACATTTTGTTCCTGAGGCCTCCCAGCTTCTCAGGAGGAAAAATCTTAAAGAAAAAATTTTTCATGAAAAGATGTCTGCGACAGGAGTTCACAAACAGTTCCAAAAAATAAAAATTTATGCTGCCTCTTGAGTCCATCACAAATGAGTGGACACAGTCATATGCTCCCTGCATGGATGGGTGGAATCCTGGGAATGTTAGCAAATGCAACAAGCTTGGCTTTGCTACTGTTGCTACACAAGAAAATCTTGCCATTATTGGTGCTAAATGAAGGATTTGGGTACTCCTGCAGAGTAGAACAACAAACTTGTGAACAGGTTTGATCAGCTTTGAGAAGCTCCAGTATCCTTTATCTAGAGCAATGATTCTGGGTGGAATTATCCATAAAGATGATAGGAAAGGCTGGTTAGGTATTGTGGAAAAATTTACCTGTGTTGGCCAGCAGTTGAGCCCTGTCAGTACTGGCCTTGTCTTCACTTGCAGCATGGATGGCTGCTGGAATTTTTCTGTGCTTTGGAGAAAAGCTGCAGGTTTGAGCAATGAGGGGAATTTTCTGACACAATAACATAAACTCTGCTCATCACAGGCTGGAGATTTTACTGTTTGGGTTCTTTTCTTTGTTCCCCCCTGCAGATCGAGCAGGAGCGGATTGACAAAATCTGGCCAAAGCTCCGGGTGCTTGCTCGCTCTTCCCCCACAGACAAACACACTTTGGTGAAAGGTGGGTGCAAACTGCTTGTGGAGGGCTGGAAATCAATGATAAAGATGTTAAAGCACATCATCTGCTTTCATTTCACTGTTACAAACCCACCTGAGTTGTCATCCTTAACTGCACCACACAAGGAAGTTTCCTTGCGCTCTTGTGTTTGTGTTCTTCCTCAGCCTTGACATGGAAAATAATAGGAAACTCCTTGGCAGGAATAATAGAAATAGCAACAAGATGCCTGGCAAGTGCATTTAGGAAATCTCATATTTGCCTTGTGACTTTTAATTGGAATGAGACTTGAGCTGGGAGGGAAAATGTGCATTTGGAGGGCAGAAAGAAAATATTGCTGGGAAACAAGATATAAACAAGAGGAGATGTAGATTTTTTTTTTGTCTTTGCCTGCACTGCTTTATGAGGGAAGAAAGAGCAATCTCATTGAGAGTGAATCCAGTCACTCCAGTGCATCTCTTCTCCCAGAATTATCCTAAAGGGTATTCCAAGAGAAAAAAACCTATTCCTGTCACAGCAGCAGTTATTGGGATGGTGGAACTGGGAGCTGCCCAGTGGAGATTGGGATTTTCAGCCAATTCCATTTTTCCTATAGGCTAATCTGTGTGAATTGCATTGGCTCCCTTTAGATTCCTGTATTTTTAGAGTCTGCCCTGTAGGAAGTGCACCATACAAACTCCATTCTCTCCCCACATTGTCTGCAGATGGAATGCTGCCATTAAAGATGGTGTGGTTTGCAGTTCCCTTCTTTCTTTTGAGGACTTGACATCTTATTCAGTTTACTTGGAGGCTCACACTTCATGGCTGGTGAAATCAGGCAGTTTCTGGGCAGGAATAACATCATTTTTGGCCATGCTCAGGTAGAAACCCTGTCAGCAGGTTGCTGTTTCCTGATGAAGAAAGAGCTGGAATATTTTGCTAAGGCCCTGGAAAGTCTGGAGAGCCCCTTTTAGCAATTCTTGGAGCAGCTAAAGTTCAGGCTAAGATCCAGCTGATCACATACCTGTTTTCAGCTGTTGACTGCTCCAATATTAATCCAAATTTAGGTAGGAAATCCTTTAGGTTTTCTTCTATAATTCCATACATGACTGATTGCAAAGGCATTTGAGCATCATGCAATTTTTAAAAATGCCTAGAGCAGAAGTCCCATTGTGAATTTGAAGATTGGATCAGTTGGGTTCTTTGGGTTTGAGACAAGGTGGAAATGGATCATGGTGCTGGATGGGGCAGCTGGAGACAGAATGTATCATCTCCATCCCCCCCCCCCTTTTATATGTATATTTTATAATGTACACAATTTATTATTATGGCACTACCTATGTGTAATAATACACAAATAATACACATTTCTTGGAGAGATATGCTCCAAAATAGTTTTCCAGCAGGGGTTTGTTCAGGATTGGAAAGGTTTGGAGGGCATTTTTATCTCCATGGGTCAGTGTTAGACCTGCCCAAGGTCAGCTGAATTCTCCTGAGCAGTGCATCTCAAACCCTGTGCTCCAGGATCCTGTTCTCAGAAAACAACCCTTGTTCATCCCAGCAGCTGATTTGTTTCAGAAACACAACAATTTGTGTTTCATTAAGTGGATTAACCAAGTCCCTCAGGAGTGCTCGTCTGAATCATTCAGGATTTTCCCTCAAGAGGAGCAGGAAACCTTTGCCAGGGAAATTGAAATCAATAGAGAGCTGGAGAGAAAAGGAACAGCAAATTGTTGATGGTTTGTAGCATAAGCACTTGGACAGCCCAAAAGATATTTGCTCCTACTGAATGCCACATGCAAGTACCACAGTTAATGTTTCAAAGATGTGACAAGGTCGAGAGAGCAATTAAGTGTCTTAACAAAGTTCAAGAACGAGTCTGTGGAAATCATGACGGAATTTTTTGGCTGGTAATACTCCAAGGGCCATTAAAAGTTACAAGAAACTATTTAAATGTTCACTAGTTTTGGGCCTCTTATTAAAATGTTATGTTTTTTCTCAGACACTTGAGGGATTGAGAGGATTTTCTCCCCTTTGATGTATTCTATCTGCTCTAGGCTAAAAACACACATCAGAAAATAAACTTTTTTTATATTTAATTTTTAATGACATACAGCTGCTGGAGGGAATCTTTTTTCCCCTTAACATAGCACAATCCCACCCAGCAAAGGATCATTTTTATTTTTCACTTTTGTTTTCAGTACTGCTCAGGGACCAGAGAAAGGCATGGTTCAGCATTTCAGCCTGGGCAGACACTTGCAGTCAAACATTTGTGGCTTTGAAGTAGAGGTAGATTGGAAAAACACCAATCAGAATGGTTTATCTTCACAAAGCCCTTCAGTGAAACCAAAATCTCAGTCCCACTGAAATACAATTTGGGATGGGTTTTAAGACACCTTTCATATTTTAAAAATTTCATATTTCATATTATTATTTGTCAAATTAAAAATTCCATATTTTTAACTCTATTTCCAAATATAACAAGTAAAATTGCATATCATTTATACTGATGTAAGGTTACAGTGCTATTGCTGAAATAATTTAAAATTGTCAGTTTATCTTTTAAAAACACTGCAGGAAACAATTGTTTAACACTGATGGGAAATATCATCAAAAGAAAAGATCAAAGAAATACTCAGTTAACCAATTAAACAAGGGGTACCTTCCAAAATATTTAAATTAGACTGGAATTTTCTTTTTGGTGATATTAAAAACAGCTATTCTCATGCAGGGCTAATTTGTTATCAAGCAGAAAGGGAACTTTAAGAAAAAAAAATTTTTAGTAATTACCCTTAATTACTCAAATATTTCAACTATAATTTCATGGCATGGTAGTATGTTCATAACCTCATTAATGTGGAAAGTTGTGAGATGGGTACAATAATCAAAATACAGAAAATGTTATTAATTGATATTCTGAACTTTGGGGAAGAATTTTCACTTAATTCCCAATGCTGTCTGTAATGTCATATAGAACATTTTTATATAAAAAACCTTTAAACTTCTATCCAGGCAGGTATCCAAGCATGTAACTGAAATAAATTTCAGCTTTCTCCTTCAGACAGATTTTGCAAATTCTTGTTACGTTAACAGGGAGCTTCCAGACGTTTGAAAATATTAAAAACTAACCTGAAGAGGACGTGTTTATGAAAATACACGGCTGTGACTCTGTTTAGCTTGTCAAAGAAACACAAATCTGTGTGATCCTGAGGGAGGATCAGCTTTCCTGCCTCTCTAACCCTGAACTGGGCTTCAGCTCTGAAATCCTCAGCTGCAGCTGAATTTTCCTGCCTGTTTTAAGCAGTTGAGACAGAAAGAAGTCTCTAAACCAGGAATGTTTTTTTCTCCCAGGATTTTCTAACTGATGCAACTCCAAGGGTGACAAGCAAGGATTGTTTAAATAGAGCAGCACTTGTCCTGTGACAAAGGGAGAACCTGTCTGTGATGGGTCTGAGCTGAGCCATGGGTGCAGAAGAGACATTGTTCTTTGATATTCCCTGAGTTATTATCCTGAGTGGATTTGATTTAATGCTTGCTTAGTGTTAGATGGTAGGAAGGTGGAAGATGTAGGATAAATTTCAGTTTTGTATCTCGTATTTTGTGCTTTTTACGGCAGGCTTAGGCATTTAGAACCCTTCTTGATGACTCTGCATGATTGTTTTAAATCTGATCTTTGCCCTCATCTGACACAAGCTGCTTGCTCTGAGAAACTTGTGTCTTATGCAAGCCACAGGACAAATTCCTACCCAAATTTCCTGCCCAAATTCCTGCCACATCAGCGGGATCCCTGTGTGGAGCCCACTGTCATCTTCTGCTCGAGGTGTGCTCCTGGGGCTGTTGAATGAAATTCTTTGTGACAGGAGAAAGTCATGGCTAAACAAGCTCAACAGAGGGAAGAGGCCAGTGAAAGAGCAAAGGCTGTTTTGGCAGGAAGCTTTGCTGAGAGTAGAAGAATTCCCTGTGAAAACCTGCTTTTATTAAAATCCTGTATGTAAGCATTCATTTGGAGTAAAGCTGTATAGTTGGAAAAAATTTCTGGTTGTTAGACATGATTGATTATTACTGGAGCTTCTTTTCAGCCACTTGGAGTGAGTGCAAAAGCCAGGGAATGTTCTCTTTACTGGCAGCCTGTCAGCTCATGCCCTCAGTCACATTTTTCCCTGATCACATCAGAGATTAATCCCCACAGCTCAGAGGGAGAGCCCTTCCTGGGCATCCTTCTTCCCTTTGGTCTCCTCACACTGTGAATTTAATCTGTGCACATTTCTCAGTACTGAAGAGAATTCTTCAGGTGAAACCTTATCACAGCCATTGACAGAATATTAAAAACAAACCTTAATGTGTTTGGAGGGAGGCACATGCTGGGAAGAAGGCAAACATTCAGCAATGGGAGGAGGAAGAGATTAAAAAGAGCAGGCAGAAGTCAGGGAGTGTTGGCAGAACTGTGATAAATCCTCTGAATCCCAAATAATCGTGGCTGCTCCATTTTAGAAATTTGTCCGACGTACAGACGGGTGATTTGCAAAGTCCTTCTCTCCTCCATGGGTAGCACTGAAATCCATCCCCAGAATTCCACATCTTTCCTGTGGGCACTGTGGGGAAGGTCTGGGGCTCAGGTGCTGATGGCACCTGAGACCTTTTCACGTCTGGTTTTCCATGGCTGCATTCAGCTCTGTGCTCTGGGCTCATCCTGGCTGCACAGTTTGGATTTTGGGATAAAAATGTCTCCTAAACCTTGTGAATGAGTTGGCAGCACCCAGGAGTTGGCTGATGGAGGGCAGTTGGTGGCACAGTCATCAGCACAGTCACTATTTATATCCATTTATCTCTATTAGGAGATCATTTGTTTGAGCCTCTTCAACTTGATTTGGGTTGTGCTCCCACTTGGAGCCCAGTTGTGAGCAGATACTATCGACCTCTTTGGAGCAGTTAATACCTTAATGAGCCAGAGATTTTAATGACTTTTTGTTTTTTTCAGAAGCTTAAACTATTAATTTAACATCAAAGGATGTGTTAATAACAAGACAAAGTAAATGCTTTTAACAGTAGTGGCAGATGATGTTCCTGTTTATTTAGTAATACCAAAGGCAAATCACCCCAACAAACTGAAGGCTCTAATTGTGAGATCTTATCAGAGTAATTGCCATTTTTCTGAAATCATACCACCAGTGGAAAGTGAATAGGGCTTTTTTTTCTCATTTTCATAACTCTGAAAAATACAGGGCACTAACTGCTTGCACAGGGCACTGCAATCTTCTGGTGCCTGATAAGCGTGAACCTTGCCAAGAGGCAGCTATTGCTCTGTAATCTGCAATTTCCTATTTCTCCTTGGTTATCTGATATGGAAGGGAATTTTTTTTCAGAGCAGAGTGAAAGCTTTTCACCCTGGGTAGGTTTGGATAATTGTTTTTGAAGGTAATGACTTTGTGCAAAATGTGTTAGCAAAAGGAATTCTGTCATTTTCCTCCCCTGAGTTATCAATATGGAAAGGTGTTCTTGTATCCTACACAACAATCTTGTGTTCTGGACTTGTGCTCAAATGGACCCTGACATGGAAATAGAAATAAGAATTGTGAATGATCTTCTTCCTATAAAAACCTGGGCTGCTTCTGTAACCTCTGAAAAATTCTTCATTATTTTCCTGAATTTCATTATCTGTATAAGTGGAAAATAATTCCCTGCAGCCTTGTTGTGTGAAAAACTTGATTCACCAAGTGAAAAGTGGTTTTTATTTCTCTCAAATGATCTCAAAATGAAAGTAAAAATTATTTTACTCTATCTATTTATTAAAATGCTTGGTTCCACAATTTAAAGAATTAGTTGTATCTCCTTAATCATTGTTTGGCAAAATTGAACATGGCTGCTAAAATTCTCCAGCTACATAAAATTCATCAATGGCTTTTGCGCTCTCTAGGTTAAGAAGGTCTCTTAGTAAAGCTGATATTACAGCTGGGTCCCAGTTTAGGAGAGCCCTAAACATGAACTTAAGTTTTCGGCAAATCCTTTCCATCGATGTTTGATCAGTGCTGGGCTGTGACACTTTAAATAGCAGGAATCTGCCAGAAGGACATAATGAGCTGCTCTCATTGCCTTTGAAGCCTGAGCAGGTTTTGTTGATGTGTTGATGATGCAGGATCAGAACTTTCCATGTAAATCCTAATGGTGATGTTTAGTAGTGGATGGTGGTGATGCTACAGCTTTTATCATTATTTTCCTTAAAGATCTGCCTTTTTAATCTCTGTAAAACTGTGTGGTGTTATCCAGTCTGTATTATACAGACCCTGCTTTTTTACAGGGACGTTTTATCTTGCTAATTATTGCCCATAAATGTCTGTAAACACACACCCATACATACATTTTTTGCAGGTATTATTGACAGCACACAGGTGGAACAGAGGCAGGTGGTAGCTGTGACTGGGGATGGAACCAACGATGGACCAGCACTTAAAAAAGCTGATGTTGGCTTTGCAATGGTATAATCTTGATGTTTGTGCCATTATGAATTTGCTGTAAGGGCTTTTCCATTCATTGAATGTGAAGTTGCTTAGTTATAAGCACTATAAGTTATATACACTGCAAGTAATAACTTGTCAGTGAAGGAATATATTGGTGGGAATGAGTTACGTTGACTCAGAATCCTTTAATTCCCTTGGATTCACTGGCATTGTTTTGATACTTCTTCAGGATTTTGTCTAATTAATTATTGGCTTTATGCAGAATCCTGTGCCCATACAGAAAAAAGAACTTTTTCTTCACAATACTGGAGTTCTCTTTTGCTGTGGTAAAATCCACCATAATTGGAAAGGTGTCCTCCATGTGTACTCTGACTATGTATAAAGACACATAATTCTCATTTTTGTTACCAATTCTGTTCATGGATAATAAAAAACCATCATCAATGACAAAAATACCTCAGATAATCAGCAGTCTTTAAGCTGATGAAACACTCAGAGCCATCACCACATGAATTCTCTGCTCTCTGTCAATTCCCTTTTTGCGGCCTAACTCAACACATCAAAACCAGGCCGAATTAACGAAATTCCAGGAAATATAAAAAGCTGTGGGCTTTGACTATGGAGATTTGTGCTGTCCAGCAGGGAATCTCATTCCCAACCCCTCTCCCCAGGGCATCGCGGGTACGGATGTGGCCAAGGAGGCCTCAGACATCATCCTGACGGACGACAACTTCAGCAGCATCGTCAAGGCCGTCATGTGGGGCCGCAACGTCTACGACAGCATCTCCAAGTTCCTGCAGTTCCAGCTCACCGTCAACATCGTGGCCGTCATCGTGGCCTTCACTGGAGCCTGCATCACCCAGGTGAGCAAATCCTGCTGGGATCCTGCTGAAATCTTGCTGAAATCCTGCTGGGATCTCACTGTGATCCCTCTGCGATCCATGCTCCCAGTGGATGGGGCCTTGCATTTGATTCCTGCTTGGTACACAGCACTTGATGCCTTTTCCTTGGTCCTAAAATGAAGAGCTAGGCATGGTTAAGTGTTAAAGGGGTTTTACCTTGGTATTTAGTAAGGATTTTTGTGATGTAACACTTCACCAAGGTGGAGCATGATGAAATGCATACACACGTGTGCAATTTTATACGCCTTGTATATATAACAAAGATGCCCCAATGAGATGCTTGAATGAATAGTGTGGTACCTTTTTATCTTGATGTATTTCTTCCTGGCTGGTCTTAATCTTAGTTTACAGGATATATTTGAGAGAAGACCTTGGTTTCTCAAGGTAGCGTAGGGCTTTCTGGCCTCTAACTGTGGGGCCTTTAGGATATTTGGCTTTCTGGCTTAATAGAATACCAGGACTATGCTAAGTTGAGGAATTACAGGTATTATGAGAATGCCTTTTCCTTGGTTCTAAAATGAAGAGCTAGGCATGGTTAAGGGTTAAAATGGTTTCACCTTGGTATTTAATAAGGATTTTTGTGGTGTAACATGTCGCCAAGGTGGAGCACGCTGAAATGCGGATACATGATAGATTGCATATGCAATTTTATAGACCTTGCAAATTTTGTAGAATATCTACAAAGATGCCCCAATGAGATGCTTGAATGAATAGTGTGGTATCTTTTTATCCTGAAGTATTTTCCCCTGAATGAGCTTAATCTTAGTTTACAGGATGTATTTGAGAGGAGACCTTGGTTTTTCAAGGGGGCTTAGGGCTTTCTGGGCTCTAACTGTGAGGCCTTCAGGATGTTTGGCTTTCTGGCTTAATAGAATACCAGGACTTTGATAAGTTATCAGACTTGAGGAATTACAGGTATGAAGAGGATGCCTATTCCTTGGTCCTAAAATGAAGAACTAGGCATGGTTAAGGGTTAAAGGGGTTTTACCTTGGTATTTAATAAGGATTTTTGTGGTGTAACACCTCATCATGGTGGAGGACCCTGAAATGCGTACACACGATAGATCGTGTGTGCAATTTTACAGACCTTGCAAATTAGCATATCTAACAAAGATATGAGATGTTTGAATAAATAGTGTAGTATCTTTTTATCTTGAAGTATTTTTCCCTGAATGAGCTTAATCTTAGTCTACAGGATGTATTTGAGAGGAGACCTTGGTTTTTCAAGGGGGCTTAGGGCTTTCTGGCCTCTATCTGTGAGGCCTTTAGGATGTTTGCCTTTCTGCCCTAATAGAATACCAGGACTTTGATAAGTTATCAGACTTGAGGAATTACAAGTATGCATGCTAAGGGCACTGAGAATACGTAAAAGATATAAAAAGAAAAGACAATAAATTGTTGTAGCATCAAAACCTTTGGAAATTCTCCTGAGCATTCCAAGAATCAGGCTGCTGAGGGTTAAAGAGCTGCTGACGTTAAAGAGCTCCTGGATTAATCCCTCTTTTTTCCCAAAGGAACTCACTTTTAGGAGCTTTTTTGCCTCCCTCAGTGTTGTCATCCCTGAGCCTGTGATGATCAAACTGAAAACACCATGGGTTGCGAAAGGAGCAGGTTATGTGAATTTTTTCCTCTCAGAATACCTCACCAATGAATACATATTTTTTAATGCATTGTGGAATGAGGTTATTTTCAAGAGAGCAGTGCTGACCCATGGAAGTAACCCCAATCTTTTTGACTGATAAAATTATTTTGTTGCTTTCAAGCAGTTATTTTTAATTCCAGATGCAGATGACGAACCAATTAAATGACACAGAGTTGGACTTAGATCTCTCTTTCTGGCACTCCATTAATCCTTCATTGCAATCCTGGTGCAAATGCAACATATCCAGGTCCTTTGCAAGAAGCATATCTCAAAGCAAACATCTTTTTTTCTCAAATTATAATTTTTTGGGCAAAAGGAAAAAAATGCTTTTTTCCCCTCTAGAGAGTAAATAGGATATATGCAGTACACTGTAAGGTTTTTGTTTTAATGAGAAAATAATAAAATGTGGTTTTTATTGCTGTCAGTCCCTAAAATAATGTATATTTTAGATGCTGCAGACAGGTGCTGTCACAAAGTGCCTCCCTGTATTGGGATGCACTGTGAGAAAGCTGATGCTCCCCTCATAGTGCACATCACCCAGATGCCCATACCTGTTTCAGCAGGTACATTTCAGCCCAGGCACACCTGAGCAAAGCAATGAATAAGTCATCAGCTCTGCTCCAGGCTAAACTTACATTGGAATCATGGAATTGATCCTTGCAACCAGAAACCCAGGTACCTTAACAAACGCATGAGGTCAAACTTCTCCTGTGCCCTGGCAGACATTCAGAGGCTTTGGAGGGCCCTTCTTGTCACCACTGAGCCTCTGCTGAGGGACAAAATTTGTGGTGTTGCAGCAAAGTTGGATGAGTTTCCCTTTGGAAATATTTCCCATCATATTGAGGATGCCCAGCTGTGAAATGATTGTGGCTGGTAACACAGGAATGAGGACTGCAACTCTGGGAGGTTTTTACATGTGGTAGAAACCCAGCCAGAGCAAGGTGCTGACAGCAGCAGCACCATCACTGGAACTGATTTTATTGACAATCAGTGTCTGACTAGAAACATCTGTTTAAGGTGAAATTTCTTGGTCAATGCTCGGCATTTCTTCAATTATTTGTGGAAGCACAAAGGCAAAATCATTCTATTTGTTAACCAAATAATTTTTTATCCCTGAGGAGGTTAAACATTGCTGGATCAGTGCAAGGACTATTTTAAATCAAGTTAAGCAGATGTGAAGTGCATTATCAGTACAAGCATAACCCCCTTTTTAATTCTGGAGCTTTTTTCATCCTTTGAATAATTCCTTTGGCTTCTAGAAGGATTTGTATCAGGCCCAGAGCATTTCTCTTGCCCCCAAGGTCTGTGAGGCCATCCCTGGGCCTGTTGTCCCTGCTCACAGGTTTTAGTGGACACCTCCTGGAACTTCTGGGCTGCTTTGCAGATTCTTGTGCAATTCCTTAATTTGTCAGTAAAGGTGCAAACCCAAGGGAAACGTGTGGGGAAAGCTAAAGTGGAGATGGAAGCAGAAAGGCAGCAGGTCTGTCCTTTGCTACTGTTTACACTCAGTGTGAATAATCTCGAGCTGCTCCCGGTTCTGTCTCATTCAAGAAGGATTTTGCCTCACAAATGCACATTATTGTGTTTGGCTCCAGCCAGCCAAAGGACATTCTGTTTGGCTTGAAAGCTTTGCTAAAAATTGCACTTGGGAACATGCTGTACCCTCTGGTTGCTATGAAAATAACTCCAGCACAAAGTGCAGGACTCTCCCAAAAAAATCCTGCTACAACAGTCTAGGAGCACACATGTACATCCAAATCTGCAGAACTGTGCACAGGTCTGAATGAAAGATTTTGACTGAAATGTTTCAGTCCTTAACAAAAAAGCAAGCAAACATACAGAGCTTAAATTTGTCTTTTCCAAAAGGCAGCACACTTCCTGTGACCTTCAAAATGAACACAAAGAAAATCTTCACTGGACTGAGTTTTCCATTGATTTAGGTGGTCAGTTTGTGTTTCTCTGACACGCAGAATATAATTTCAGTCCATCATTAAGATTCAGGTTAATGAACATTACACAGGCTGTTCTTTTGGTGACATTTCATATCTAGAATGAGAAAAATTCTCTGTAGGTAATAACATTTGTTCTATTTTTCCTCATGCCACCTCTCAAATAATCTGTTCTGCAGTTTGGGACCAGCACACTCACCTACTCTTTTTGGTTTGTGCCTAAAGGAAGTACAAAGATAATAAAATCTTTGCTTGGACTAATCTTTTTTTAATACTTGGCTTGTGCTTTGCAGCATAATGGGCTTAATTTTATTCAGTCTTGATCCTGCACTTGCTCTGATGTACATGTAAATAAGAGGATGTGGTCATCTCCCTGCAGAACTCCAAGTGAAAGCACTGCAATTCTGCATTAATGAATTAATTAATGGCTGTGTGAGTGTGGTGGGAGTGCAGCCAGCCCTCCAAGGGGCACCCAGAGAGTGCATTGCCCACGCAGGAGATGATTTGTTTGGTCCAGGGCACCTTGGGAGGCTTAGGAAAAACATTAGGCAGAACCTGGGACCATTAGTGGCCATTTTAATAATCTGCTGCTTTTTTCCTCAAGTAGATTAATGAAATGAAGGTCCTTGCCAACGCCACTTCAGGGAACTGCTGTTTAGTTCAATTCTGTTCATTTTAAGCAAATAGAATTTTATGTTTCATCTACCCAATGCCTGCTTCACGAAGATGCTGCTGTTAGAGAATACCTGCCTTATCTGTGATTTCTCTTTCATTCTGGTTTGCTGTTCCAGTGGATAGTGATGTGTACAAAATGTCTCTGTACTGCTCTGGTGCCAGATAAAGCTTATGCAGGACAAACAGTGGGCCGTCAAAGAATTTATTATGCGCAGGACCAATGCAAATGGTTGTTTCTCTTGTCTCCCCTGGCTCCCAGCATGAAGTCATGTTAAGGTGACAGCAACCATATTCTGAGCAGCATAAGAATTACAGATCCAGTGTTACCTGCTGACAAGCTTAGCACAGCTGCTGCCACAACCACCCCTCCAAGAGATCTCACTTACGTGGGGCCCTGTTTCAGTTTACAGCAGCTCAATCTGTAAGCCACAAGATGTGAATTTTCAGCTAATAATGAACTTCTGTGTTGTGAGGCTGTAATTATGTAAGGGGCTCTGAGATCTGGGTCACCCAGGAAAGCAGAGCTTGGAGAAGTCCCTGGTGGGAAGGTGACTCAGGAGCCTCAGTCTGGGGTGCAGGGGTGGGTTTAGCTCTGTCTGTGTGTGCACAGACCCCAGAGGAGTTCACACCTCGGCTTGCTCCCAGAGAGGTTTGTGTGGCTCATTCACCTTGTTTTTAACTAATCCAACTCAGTTCCCTCTTGCTGCCTTCCCTGTGGTGCCCACTGCACACTTTTAGTGTGGTCAGGGTGTGGTGGTCTTGACCAATTTGCGCAGAATTGTTCTTTCTCTTCTGCAGCCACTGCCTCAGCTCAAATCCATCGTTTGTTTTTCCAGCAGATTTATGAGCTACAAACTTTTATATTCTGACTTCATTCTCTGAATAGCAGTTTGCAGAGCCCCTGATTGATGCAGTGAGGGTGGTTCTTTGGAGCTCTGCCTACGATTCTTGTGAGTTTTGTGTTTGCAGTGAGTCACTGCTCCACATCTCTGGGTGTCCTGTAGGGCCCTGGATGGGCTCACCCCTCTCCCTGTCCCCAAAAACCACACAGCACCCAGAGGACATCAGCTCATTACATTTGGAGCTGTCCACAGTGATCTGGCTATGAACAAAATGAAGATTTTAAAATGCAGCTCAGTCAAATGGAAACATTTTTTTTTACTGGAGCCATGAAACAAGAGGGTTTCTCTCCGTGCCAGGTTCGGTCTGTGGCTCCAACTGTTGAGGCAATTGTAACTCTTCAAAAGGCTTGAACTGAAAAAAGGGAAGACAAAGGCTGTGTTTTAACATCTTACATTCAAATTATTATTCTTGCACTTTGAGAGACTTGGTGTTTTAGCAGACATTAGGAGCTGAAAACAGTGACTCCATAGGACATTATGTTTGGAAAATTAAATGTTAATTAAAAGGCACTGTAGCAATGAACTGCTGCATGAATCACTGATTGTTTTTACAGATCTTGTTAAAAAAAATGAGGATGATCTATACTTACATGTAAAAGGGAATAATTTATGTGGTTATAATGTTTTACTGCAGAACTGTACTTGGCAAATTCTAAAATAATAGCACAGGCAAACTTGAAAAAGCTGTAATATAAAATCAAAGTCTGTACTGTTTAGCTTTGTTTTGGCAAGGCATGGGGATGGAATTGAGGATGCCACTTCCATACAATTAGCAGACAGTGTGATCTTGCTGCACAGGGACTTTTTTTGCATCAATGTATAGAAAGGTAACTCCCAGAAATGCTCATTTTTCTGAATACCTGCATGTGTTCTGTGGCAAACGGGAGTAAAAAGGTAAGGGTGAAAATACCTTTTTGTTCCCTTGCAGCTTGTCATCTAAATCAAAAGTAACAAGCTCTAAAATTTGTGAGGCTCTGCATGTCACAAAAGATTTGTAGTTTATTTCCAGCCTTTGGCAATTTGTACTTTTAAGTGTTTCCAAGATGAAGTGTAACATCACTTGATTTAAGGGACATTTTCCTTTTACCTCTAGGCCAAGGCTAACATATTCCAAGGTCAAGTGAAAGGAATTTGATGAATAAGTGGTGATTTTGGGTGGTTCACATCCCCAAAGTTTTCAGAGAGGGAATGAAGAATTATTGGCCGGTCAGTTAGTGGCTGGAAAAACACAAAGAAAAGAAGGTTGATTTGCATCCCCCTTGCATAAGTGACTAAAATCTGCAGTGGAAGCCTAAGCTCCTTAGCTGATATGTATTTCCCTCAGTTTCCACCAACTAATCAGAAATCAGATAGAGTTACAGTGGAAATTTCATTCCACTGCCTGCCCAGACTAATGTGTATTTAATGTTTTGGCTTCAGCCTGGAATGAGCTCTCACACTCCACTGAGCAGTGTAGCACTGCCAATAATAGATAATTATTAGGGGCACCACAGCCACCCAAGGTGATTGGCAGTGTGAAATGGTGAGAACATGTTGTTGCCAAAACTGATGACTGCCAATTACAGTTGTGTGATTTAGAGACTGAAATACCCTGCTTTTCCTGTTCTGCTGGGAATATGGCAGGCTCTGATAGACACCTGAATCTCTGACTCCATCTATTAAATCTAACGGGGAAATTTGGTTTTATTGACAGAGAATTCAGCGTGTGAAGTGGAAATTGAGTTTTTGTAACAGATCAAAGCAGAGGAGCTTGCTCAAACTTATTAATGAGACAGGCAAAAACATGATAAGGAAAATTCTTCAGCAGAAAAGATGTTTTTCCTTTTTACCTGTGTCCCATCGAGGGTCTGTGAGCCCCAGCCACAAACGGTTTTGTACTGCAAGCGCTCTCTTTGTTGGAGCCATTAGTGTTAATAAAAATGAATGAAGCCTCAATTTGGGATGAAGTTTGTCCTGATCACCTTTAGTTTTTTAGTCATCTCTAAAGACAAAGACATTTCCTGTTTCTGCAGCTGCATTTCAAATGACTGAGCTGAGCTCTCCAGATAAGCTCAGTTAATGCAACCCATAACCAAGAGGTCAAGAATCTATTAATGCTAAATATCCTCCTTGCTGTGATGAGCCCAACCTGTAAGACTGAGAAACGGGTGGTTGCTTTTCTCCATCCCTTTTCTCCATCCCTTTTCTCCATCCCTATTATTTTTGGAATAATCCAAAAAATTGGTTTTTTGGTTTTTTTTAAATGAATGAAATGCATCAAAATCTGTGTAAATGTGTTAAAAATGTGTTTTGAAGGGCAAATAATATTTTATCTCAAGGGAGAGTTGGAATCTAAACCAGATGCTCAAGAGACCAAAGCACTTACCCTTGTTTTCTATCAGTCCTTGGGATACTGAATGCATGTTCTTTTATGGTATTTCATTAAAAATGAACATTTAACCCTTTGAAGAAACAGGCAGAGTTCTCAGGGAGTTTTGTTGGCTTTGCTCTTGTTTGTATCCTGTCCTCTACATTGTTTTGGTTTCATTGCTGCAGCACCATGGTAATGAAATACATAAAAATAGTGCTGCCTCTCCCAGCTTTCACACAGCAGAGTAACTCAATTTCATGATGAAATTTGTCATGTTGATGCCTTATTACTTTGGTGATTCTTTTTTCCCTCATAAAAATGGTCTGTTTGGAACAGGAAGCAGACCTTGCTAATGCTGCCTGTTTTATACAGTCTAAAGGCACAGGAGTTTGGTTTTTTTTTTGTTTTCTTCCCCTGGCTCCTTGAAACATTTCTGTCTCCTCACAGCTGCCCCAGAGAGTTACACATCATGACTTCATTAAGGATTGTCCAGCATTCTCCTGAGATCTGTGTAACTTTGCTTTATTTAGTTAATTTTGGGGTTTTTAAACATGACCTAGAGTCCTCTGTATTATGACCACAGACTTTATGGGATTGTGTGAGGAAAGAGCTCCTTCTAGTGACTGGAGAGCTGCTTCCAAAACCACAGCCTGCATCAAATACCAGTATTTGGGGTTTTTCATTCCATTTCTATAGTGCCAAATAGGCTTTCCTTTTAGTAAAAAAGAATAGGTTGTCTTGCTTTTGCACATTTGATATAGTTTAATAAGTTTCAGATTTTTTTAAATCAAAATATCAGGCTTTTTTTTTATTATGTCACTACTTTTAATGCTCTTATTTAAGTGTAATGTATCACGATGTCACCGTAATTGTTCCATAAATTTTTAATTATTTCAAGCTGTCTCTGAAAAAAAAAAAGACAGATAGGTTTTAGTATAAAGGAAATGTTACTTTTTAATCTGTTTAATAATATAATGATTCTTCCACAAGAGAAACTTGAATTCTCTAGTTATATCTAATTTCAGATGAAAATTCAAGCACGATGCACGAAGGAAAGGAGAGCATTGCAATAGGTGTTAGAAGGAGTTACTGTCATGCATGGTATGAGTTTTGTGGTTGCAAATGGTGCTGATGAAATGCCTGCAGGGAGATAATTTCCCTCTGCTCAGGTCATTGTGCTCCTGGTTCTTCAGAAGGAAATACAAAAGGGAGAAGGGTCCCAGCAACAGAAGAATGCTCCTCAGTGCAGGGATTTCTGAGCCACATGAGAAAAATGAACTCCCAGCCAGGCTTTTCTTGGGAAATACAAACACTTTTGATTTTTCCCCTTAGGACTCTCCCCTGAAGGCCGTGCAGATGCTGTGGGTGAACCTGATCATGGACACGTTTGCCTCACTGGCGCTGGCCACAGAGCCGCCGACCGAGGCGCTGCTGCTGCGCAAGCCCTATGGCCGCAACAAGCCGCTCATCTCCCGCACCATGATGAAAAACATCCTGGGCCACGCCGTCTACCAGCTTACACTCATCTTCACTCTGCTGTTTGTCGGTGAGGAGCTCGCCCACACTCGGTGCTCAGCTCACGAGTGGCTAGGTTGGATGGCTGAAGTGTCAAAATGCTTTACATGTAATGAATTTATGTGCGCCTATTGCCTGCCTTCGTGATCCTTAAACTTCATTTTGGATATCAGGAAAAAGTTTTTCACAGAAAGAGTGATAAAGTTCTGGAATAACTTGCCCAGGGAGGTGGTGGAGTCACCATCCCTAGATGTGTTTAAAAAAGCCTGGATGTGGCACTGAGTGCTATGGTTTATTTGAGGTGGTAGGGCCTGTTCCATGTGTGCCATGGTTTATTTGAGATATTAGGGCCTGTTCCATGTGTGCCATGGTTTATTTGAGGTGTTAGGGCCTGTTCCATGGGTGCCATGGTTTAATTGAGGTGTTAGGGCCTGTTCCATGGGTGCCAGGGTTTATTTGAGGCGTTAGGGCCTGTTCCATGTGTGCCATGGTTTATTTGAGGTGTTAGGACCAGTTCCATGTGTGCCATGGTTTATTTGAGGTGTTAGGGCCTGTTCCATTGTCTGCCATGGTTTATTTGAGGTGTTAGGACCTGTTCCATGTGTGCCATGGTTTATTTGAGGTGTTAGGGCCTGTTCCATGGGTGCCATGGTTTAGCTGAGGTGTTAGGGCCTGCTACATGGGTGCCATGGTTTATTTGAGGTATTAGAGCCTGTTCCATTTGTGCCATGGTTTAGCTGAGGTGTTAGGACCTGTTCCATGTGTGCCATGGTTTAGTTGAGGTGTTGAGGCTGGGTTGGACTCGATTATCTCCAAGGTCTCTTCCAACCCAGTCACTCTGTGATTCTGTGAATCCTGGTGGATGGGACGGGAAGCACAGAAGGTGTCATGTTGTAGTCACTTTCCATATATTGTTACCTTGGGAATTGCCTCAGTGCGCTTTTTTCCCCTCATAAAATACAGGTTTGAGCTTTGGCAAAAGTTTGTATTCAAACACAGCATAGAAGGTTATGCTGTAATAGAAGTGTCCCCCCTGCTGCTTCTATACTGAGATGTCATTGTGAGGCTTGTCGTGGTGAGTAGGGACATAAAAACAAATTTTAAAAAACCCTTTAAACAAACCACAATAAAAATCAAGATCCATTTTACCAAGAGCAAAATGTTTTCCACAGTCCAGAAATAATGTTGATCTTAAGTGGTATGGAAAGTAAGTAATCAGTGTTAAGTGATACAAATAATACTGTGCTTTGACATTTAATTTCTGGAATGGATATTAAAAGGGGGTGAAAAGTCTAATTTATTGGATTACTGGATTCTTCTTCAGGCCTTGCTGGCAATGGATGCTTTTTATAGGTTGTATTTTGGAGAGGGCGGGGAAGGAGGAGAAATGTTTCTTGCTGCAGGGAATAGTAGGAGCTAATAATAGATTCTGTTGCTCCACAATAATAACTGAACCCTCTCAAAGGACAGATGATTTTTTCAGCTGGGTATTGTCTTCTTGTCACTTTGTAGTCGCTGTTAAATCACGTGTGTTGTCTTTCAGGTTTTTTTTTTCCTTATACACAGACTTCCAGAGAAGCTGCAAATGTAAATTTATGATTTTTAGGAGGTTTTTGAGTTCCATTCTGAAAGCCTTGTCCACTTTATGGCCATCTGGCAGATTATTTGGGATGCTCAGAGGAGGCAATGATCTGTTCAGAATGGAATTAAACCAAAAGAATAGCCAGGTTTCTGAAGTGAGGTGATCTCTAACACTGTTAGATTTACAGGGAATTTTGAGAATGTCTGCATTAGGAAATTGGAATTTCAGGTTCTCTAATGCAGATGAAGAAACTCTTGGTAATTTATGTGATATGCATCTTGGAACAAGAACTTCTGTGAACTTTATGGAGAGTTTGAATGGCTTTTTGATGAATTTTATGCTTTAAAATACTTTATACTGAGCCAGATGAAAAGCAAACCAGGCTTCCCCCCCCATTCTAATTGCTCCTGTGTGTCTTTGGAAAACTCCTGCATAGTTTGAAGGACACATCCTAGACAATTTTCTGATAAGCCTTGGAAATAATCTTTTCCTTTCTAAACTCCACAAAGCTCAGCTTTGCAGTGACATGATGTGCAAAACTCAGTGCCTCCATAATTAAATTTCAAATTAATGAGAATTATTTCTATTTTGGTCAAATAATACTTCCTTTCTTTGGTAGGAGGTTTCTTCAGAGACCAGTACATCAAATTTTTATCTTTTTCATTTTTAGAAATACACTGTGTTTGAACATACAAAACATAAATGTCTTTGAGACATCAGAAATGCAGAATTCCCTGTCTGGTCCTGTCAGGCTGTGGCATTAAAAAAAAAAAAATCTTTATTTTTTCAAAGCTCACCACATTTTTAGTTACTCATCATGGGTTGTGTCTTGCTTTTTGATTGGTCAGATCTATGAGTGAAAGCCAAATTACCAAACTAAACAGCAGTGCCTGCTGCTGATCAACCCCAAATCTCTTTAAAATCTGTGCATTTTGTGACTGATATCCTTCAATGCTTGGGAGAAGTTATTGGACTAGTAAATGGGTAAAACCTGATGAAGAGGGGTGGCTTCTAACCACTGTAGAAAATTCAAACACTCTGGCAATGACATTAAGATTTTGTTACACCTGAAAGAATTGAGTGCTTAGAGTAATTCCTACTTGGAAAGGTAAGGGTGGGACTGCCAACGTTGTGTAGGTGTTGTTAGATAGCAGTTAGGTATTGTTAGATAAAAGTCAGCATTTGAACAGCTTCTTCTCAGTTGAGATGTGATTCGCTCATTGGTGCAAGAAAAGTTTTATCTAGAAAAAGCAGAGCAGAGAAGGCAACAGGCTGAAGATTACAAGTGGAATATAAATTGGTTTGATTCATGCTAGAGGAAACTTTTCTTTCTGTCTTACACCTAGGTGAGAAAATGTTTAAGATTGACAGTGGGAGGAACGCCCCTCTTCACTCTCCTCCTTCTGAGCACTACACCATCATCTTCAACACCTTTGTCATGATGCAGCTCTTCAACGAGATCAACGCCCGCAAGATCCACGGCGAGAGGAACGTCTTCGACGGCATCTTCAGAAACCCCATCTTTTGCACTATTGTCCTGGGCACCTTTGCTATTCAGGTAAAGCTCTGGGCAACAATCACCTGCTGTTCATCCCAAATCATCACAAATCCACTCAAAGAAAATCAAACACAAAGTTGTTTGGGATTTTCTTCTTTGTGTTTCCTTCTTTTTTCTTTAATTTTGAATCTAAGTGCTGCAGGAGGCCCATTTAAGAGTAAACCACATGGTTTTGTGTATTTTCTCAGTCAATGCAAGTGTTAGTAATGGAAAATGTTATGTAGCCATGCTAATAAAACAGAAATTTTGATCCTTATATATGGGTTAATTCTTAAATTAATCTTAGCACGTACAATAATAACAGCCATCATTGATATTGTAACTGTTTTTTTAAAGAAGAAATTGTTTAATACCATACCAACAAAGCATTTTAAAATTATTTATTACTCCTTGAAAAGACAAATTACCTTCAAACAGTGGATGCTGAACTGTTCTTCTGTTCAATGCCACTGCCCAATGCTGCTCAGTATTCCCAGCAATGATGCCCCTGGATTGTGATTCCTCATGTTCCTCCTGACTTTGCTGTCCCATCACAAGCGAACATGATCACAGTAATACACATTTCCCTGAAATTTTTCTTCTGTAAGAATTCCTCCTTCTGCTCCTGCATCCATTCTTTTTCTGGCATCCATCCTGTACTTGATACAATTTTATATTATAATTTGGAAATCTATTTTTATCTTGTTGTTATTGCTCAGCTCTGCAGTGGCAGCTCAGCATTGGCACCTTTCTTCTGGGAGGAGGAAAGAGCAGTTTGAACTTGAACTACAAAGATTTAAAAAGGGAAACTCCTCAATAAACTGAATATTGGAGGAAGAGCTGCAGTGATAGGAGCAGAACTTCACAGTGATGGTCTTTTACATCTAATTCAAAATTATAAGTTTAAAACTTGGACAATTTAAATCTCTGGATGTGATTTCAGGTCCCTGATTTTCAGCAGCAATATTAACAAGAAATATGAATAATATCTGAATTTCAGTTAGCAAAACCTTCTCAGTCTGCTCAGACTCTGTGTGTTGCTGCCCTGCTGAAGGTGTGGGGGTTTTCCACCCCTTTCCTCCAACAGATCTAGAATTTTCTGTACCCTCGTCTCTCCTTGATGCACATCTGTAAATACACAATAAAATGTTACTCAGAGGGAAAAGCCTCTCTTGCAATGGACATTCCAAAATACACTGGATCAATGTCAATAAATCAAAAAAATCAGGAGCTGGGAGGGCACATGGGGACTGTCCTGTTCTCTTTTTTCCTGACCATTCATGTCTGACCACTGTTAAATGTGAGGCTGAGGAAATTCAGTCTGAACTGCTATTTCTTTCTCTCACTTTTAATTGGGGATGCAGAGGTTTGTGGGGTTTGATGGGGTTTCTTTAGGACCAAAAATTATGCAGCTTTTTTCTTTTTTTTTTGGTCTGACTGTGTTTGTTTTTGTTTTGTTGCCTTTTCCCCCTGAAAAATTGACCCCTTTTCCCTCATGCTTCTCTTTGTAGATAGTAATTGTCCAGTTTGGAGGAAAACCCTTCAGCTGTTCTCCCCTGCAGCTGGACCAGTGGATGTGGTGTGTATTTATTGGATTAGGAGAGCTGGTGTGGGGTCAGGTAAGCATTCAGGAAGCTGCACATTCAAAGGTGTGATATTGTTGATTTTCCTGTGATTTCCTCTCTCAGTGCCCAGTGCAGCCCTCACTGAAACCCAAGGTGCTTTCTGAGAGCTTCAAGGAGATATTTATTAGAGAGGATAATTTATCCCTCTGTTCTTTTGGGGGTTTTTGTTAATTTTCAAATCTTTCCTTTCTAGCAGGGTGTGCTGTCACCAGGGCCATCTTCAGTTAGGCTTTTTTGTGAAGGATGTGGAGTCACAACTTCAGTCTTTTAGTCACAAAAAATTCAGCAAAGGCAAATGCACTGTGACCTTTCCTGGAATAGAATTCCTCCTGTAGGATGTGGCAAAGTTTTGGAGCTGAAATGAAGTTCCAGTTCTAGGTCAAGCAACTCATTCCCTTGCTGAAATTGTCATTCTGGCTATGGTCATAGGAAAAATTACAGTACCTTCAAAATATTTCTGCTCTGATTCTCCATCCACCTAATTCTGTGCTGTGAAGGATGGAAGAGGGAGTGCAAAAAAAAAAAAATTTTTGCCTTTAATACTTGTAGAAAATGGCAATTAAATTAATATGTCCTTTTCAATTTCTGCCTTATCCTCTGTCATTATTGCCTAATATAGAATTATATATTGATGAAGAAACAAATATCAATGAGATGATATTAAACAAATTGTGATTAACACTCTGGAAGTGATAATACAGGAACAATCAGTATTGTTAACATTCTACATTGTTCTTTTATGTACAAACACAGGTTGCAAAGTTCATAATAACAATATTTTTTCACCTCTGAATGCACTAATGATATTTAAGTTGTTGCCACCTGGTGCAGTAAAGAGAAATGTGAAGTTACATTTTTTTTCTCTCAGATGTAAAGAGATTTGTAGATCCACAGTTTGCCTCTATGAAGAGTCAAGAAATTGCTCACTGCAATTGAATTCTGCTGTGGTTCTACTGGAATTGTAGTGAATAAATGCTTGCTTGCAATTCTGATTATTTGTTCTCTTCTGGGAAAAAAAACCCGACTTTTTTTGGCAGTTTGGCCTCAGTTTTCCTTAGAAGTAAGCTCAGAATCAGAACAGCTTTTATTGCATATCTGGCTGAAATAAGATGATTCTGCTGTAATTATTACTTGAGGTCAGGATTTGACTTAAGGCCTTGCAGGAGGAAGACCTAAAATCAGTTTGATAATCTCAAAAAGGAAGGATTTATTGGGTGTAGTTTTCCTTACTGCTTGGAAAATATACTAATTTTTGGAGAAAGGGGAAGTCAAACAGGAAGAGGGAGAAGAATCTAAACTGCTTCATTCAGCCGTGGCAATTTCCCACAGCCTTTGATCAAATTTTTTGGCTTCTAAATTTTGTTATCCATGGTTATTACATAACCACCAAGAACTAATACTAATATCAGCATCTTTTTTCACTTTACTTGCCCCAGGTTTCCCAGGTTTATTGTGAGACCTTAGACATTAAATTAAATCTGGTATTGGAACACCTCCACAGTTTTATTGCTGCGAAGAGAGCAAATACAGAGGGAAAAATATCTGTCTTGTGGTCAATATTTAGTGACAAGAAAAGAAAATAGGATGCTAAAACCAATCAATTTTGTCCATATTTACATGATTTACAGTCTGCGGCAAGGCCTTTTTCATGGAGCTCTTCAGTGAGAGAGAATTCTTTTCCTTTAGCAGTGATGCTTCTCTTCTGTCTCAGCCTTTTTTCTGCTGCTCTGACTCATTCAGCACAAAACAAATTTGTTATTCTTATTTTTTTTTAATCCACATGCTGAACCTGCTGTTCTGGTGAGCCATGAAAGGCAATCAAGATTTCACAGTCTGGGTGTCAAAGCAGGCACTTCTGAAAGGAATTTAAGGAGAAGTTTTCAGCAAGTCAATTTGAGGGACAGTTATCTAGCAGCTCCCATCCCTTCTGAAAACCAAGACTTTCTAAAGTATTTAATATCCCATTCCCAGAATTATTGATCACTTATTAAAACTGTGATCATTTTCCTGGGAATAATATTTAGCTCTTTAATCTGCATCTATTGAGTCTGTGTCCTGAACTGGGTGGGTGTTGGCAGATAAAGAAAATAAATAAATAATAAAAAAGCCATGTAAACACCTTAAGGAAAGAATTAAAGCAGAGTCTCATCATTGGCTGAGGTGCTGCAAGAGAGGAACATTCTGTCACACACAATTCTCACCCACAAGAATTATTTTTATGAATATTGGTTTAAAAATCCTTTATCACCATCACTTTCATCAGATCCCAGAGTTTGCAGTAGTTTCTCTCTGTAGAGTGCTGGCATTGTAGTTTGAAAGCTGGGAGGCTGAAGGACTTTCAGTAAGTACTTAATTGATGAGCATTTCCCTTTTTTTTTTCTCTCCTGTTTGTCTTTGCTCAAGCCACACCATTAATTCTCCAGGTTTGCGTCTTGTTTTTCAACCCCCCTTTAAAAAGGTTTTATAGTAGTGTAGAAACTGGGTTTGATTTGGTTATTTTGGTTTTTTTTTCAATCTGTCTTTAAAACATTATAATAAAACTGGCCTTGTTGATTGTGAAGCTCAAGGAGACCCTCAGCAAACTCAGAGGTTTGCTTTCACCCTGAAAATATCCAGAACATTTCCATGTGTCTTCACTGCATCCATTCCAGTTTTCCAAAGCACTCCTCACCAATTTTCTGGCAGCTGTCTTGGTTCTCTCTTCATTTTTCATACATCTGAGCTTCACAGTTGTGGTTGCTCGCTGCTGAAATGAAGACAAAAAAGAAAATTTCAGCAGTTTTTTGCTAAGTGGGTTTAAAAATTTGCTTTGCAGGAGATTTGATTTAAGCATTCAGTGTGTTCCAGGTAATGTCTTGTTTAAATTGCCATGATTTGCTCCTGGTTTTATGCAAGGAATCAGAACAAAGAGAAAATGACTGCCCAACAGGGTAACACTGAAATGGATTTAAAATAATTGTCCAGCAACAGTATCTGCAATTTTTAAAGATTTTTCACCTGCATTAGTTACTTCCAAGGACCACTTGGGTGGGCAAGCAGAATGAGAAGAGGGGTTAAGTTAATCAGAATTTATTGGTGGTAAGGACACAGAGTGAGAGACAGCCCTGTGAGAAATCCATCAGCCAGATTCACACCTTTCAGAAATCTCAATTTTGATAAATGCCAGAAATGCATTCCAGCTGCTGGAACAAAGGGAAGCTGAATCCATGAACCAAGGGATGGTGAGAAGATTTATCAGCAGGAGATGCAATGAATTTTCACTTCCCATTACCATAAAAATACCCAACTCTAATTGCAGAGCTATCAAGCTGCTTAAGTTTTTTTACACTGAAATATTTCCATCTTGTTTTATTTTCAATTTCTTTTATTGATAAGACTTTTCCTAGCCTTGGGAAACGTGCTCCACACTGTGGTTTAGTGGTGCAAGTCATGCTAATTGTTTACAAAGTAAATTAAATATTTTTGGGACTAAAATGGAGTTGTCCAAGTACAAAGTGCTGTTAGGAGCAGGCTTAGCTCACCTTTATAGACCTTAATAAAATATGATTACACTAATTACTCTGTAATTAACAGATTGTTATGCTGTTGCTCTTGAATGAGGCTTATGTTTTCAGTACTTTTTTGTAATTTTAGGTCATTGCAACCATCCCAACAAGTAGGCTAAAGTTTTTAAAGGAGGCAGGGAGGCTCACTGAGAAGGAGGAGGTCCCTGAGGAAGAGCTCAATGAAGATGTTGAAGAAATAGATCATGCAGAGAGAGAACTCCGACGTGGACAAATCCTCTGGTTCCGAGGGCTCAACAGAATCCAAACCCAGGTATGCTAAAAATGAATGCCCACAAGGTCTAGAAACAGCCAAAGAAATGATTAATGTGGGATCAAGGCAAAATAACATTAAAAGGAAAGCCACACAGTGTTTGTGTGTGGAGGATGGCACTGGTTAATTGCTCTCAAAGGAAAAACATGAAAAACAAAATAAGGGAACTGAGCAAAGGGGGTGTGTGCAGCAGAAGAGATAAACTGCGAAGATATAAAGGGATAAAATGCAAAACCAGGGATCTGTGATTTGGGAATACCGTGACTGGATGTTCTTTTTCTCCCAGAGTGATGACAGCTCATGAAATTGTGCTGCTTGGCCAGCGTCAGCTCTCAGAATGTTATGAAAGCTTTCTAAAATGTATTGCTTGATTTGCTCCAAACAAAAAAAAAAAAATTGTTGCCGCCATTGCTGCACTAACAGAATAATTGAAATTGAGTCTGAAGTATGATGCACAATTTGATTAAAAATATAAATCTGTTCAGTTCTGGCCTTGCCACACATCGATCACGATTAAAAGGGATTGATTTTATTTCCCATTAGGTAATGAAAAATGTGGTTCTGGATTTTAGTAGGAATTAAGCAGCCATTAAATATTGAGGTGTAAGAGTTGGCTATTTGGAACGATTCCTGAGAAACATCTCTCCCCAGCTTTTGCCAAACACAAAAATCCAAGGCATTTTTTAATATACCAGACCTTTGCAGTGAATCCTGGTGCTAAATATAGTGCAGGTTAAGGAGCTGTGAAATTTGTCCTGGAGTGCTGAAGAAAATCATGTGAAGTATTTTGCCTTTTCCATTGCAGTGAAGTGTTTCATTGAAGTCAGGTGTGCTCTGCTTGATCTTTCTAAGATCAAGTATTTCTGGCAGCTTGCAGCAGAGAACAGCTAGCACCACATCAGATGTGCGTGTTTTACATGAGCCTGACAAGAAAAAGAGGTGAATAATTAAGAAAATGATCTTTTTTTCTTGAAAGAATCTTCTAAAGAACATTTTTGTCTCAGAAGATTTAGGGTTTTTGTCTTCATCCGAGATAAACAGCACCTTCTGCTTTTTCACATCTACAAATTGATTCTTTTTTTTTGGGGGGGGGGGAGGGGGGAAGATGCAGCCATGAATTTAGAAAAAAAATGATGGAAAGAAGCCAAATTAGGGCAGTGGGGTCTCTTGGCTGCATCTGCAGAGCAGAAAATGTAGAGCGATTAAAAGCTGGGGGAATTCCCAGGGTTCTGTGGTAAGTGATTAAATATGGATCTTCAGCTCTGAGCTTGTGTGTCTTGACTCCATTGAGTCAAGAGCGCTCATCACTAGAGAAAATTCGAATTTCAGTTGTGACAAAAAGTGCCCTGGTGCAGGTGATCTTCAGGGCAAGATGACCTCTAAATGTGCATTCTTTTCTTCCTGGTGGCTGTAGGAGGAGTGTTGCCTGTTGGCACTTCTGTCAGGATGTCTTTCTGGTTGGGGTGAGTGTAAACAGCTTCGAGCAACACAAAGCAAATGACATCCTTCCAGTTCTCTTTCTAGTCTGAGAGGTAGCTTTTAGTTCTGCATCTCTTTGTCCACTTAATTCACAGAGAAATGATTCTTTTCCACTACTTAAACCCAAATGAACATTAATTATGTCTCTTTGCTAACATCCATCTTGGTTTCCTTTCTGCTCTTAGTTGTAGAAGCACCTCTAGTAGGATGTCTCCCTCATCTCTGCCAAGAGACCTCTGTGATTTTTCTTCTCATTTTATTTACTCAATGAATTTGATTTTTTTGCATCCATTTCACATTTGTGGGATAAAAAAAAAAAAAAAAAGAAAGAAAATGGGCCAACAGATTCCAAAGCAGTGCCCAGGTGTGCAGTGGAGAGTGATGGACTAAGGTCAAATTTGATCCTTGCTGTGTGTGGGGCCCATCCAGGTGGATTCATTCCCTTATAACACATTTCTCAGGAGACCAGCAAAAGAAGAGCTCCAGGAAAAGATTGGGATGTCTTTAGCATCCCTGGGAGGATTTGCAGGAATCCTCTGCTGTCTGATGCACTCCTGGAGATGGGAAGAAGAAGGTAGAGCATCCCCTCATTTCGTATCTCGGGGGATGGCAGAGTAGGATGGAACTCTGGAAGCTCAGGACCAGATTGGTCATTCAATCCTAACACCAGTTTCCACACTTGTGCTGTAAATTGGATTATTTGTCCTTATTTTCTCTTCAGTCACTCTTGGACAGGTGGCTCCAGCTCCCAGCAAAGCCTTCACTGCTGAAACAAAGAACCCACAACAGGTTGGGTGTTGTTTTCAGACAACCAACCCTTCTTCCTTGGAGTGCTCCCTTTGAAACCCATCCAAACTGACAAGAGATATTGCAGTGTTAAAGACAATTTTCATCTACATCCTCTCTCCAACAGAGGGTTCAACCCAAGGCACCAGAGGAGGGGTTTCCGCTGGGAATTTTCTGTTTTTGTGAAAACATGCATCTTAGAAGGAAAGGTGTATGAAAAATGCACATAACTATGCCAGAGACTGGCTATCAACTTTATCAACTTCTGATGCTCTTTTTGGCCTCCTTTTGTTCATTTAGATGTTTTGTTGTCTGATAAATATCCAATAAGGAATCTCTGATAAATATCCAATAGGGCATCTCTGGAGGGATGTGTTCTCCCCTTCTCTGAATGGAAGAGTTTCCTTCCTGGGAAGCTCTCTCAGATGGTCACTGAGTGGTGAAGCTTCACAAATGGTTTATCTTAGAGATGCAAGTTTGAGGAGGATCTAAAATTGCACGCAGAGAGGACTTTCCAACAGTTTTCTGCAATTTCCCCCAAGTTTTTGTTGCCTTTCTCAGAAATTCTTTGTTCTGAAGGAAGACAAAAGTGATCACACCCTCTTGGCAGGTCTAACAGCCTTTGGGAAGTTCACCAAGTTCACCTTCAGGCCAGACCTGATAATCTGAGTAAAAAACCAGAGAAAAAAAATACACATCTCACCTCTTTTGATTGTGTATTGAAAGATTCTCCAGTTTTCTCACATCTGAGAGTGGAAACATTCTGAAGTGGAGGTTCAAAAACTTCTTATGTTTGTCAGAATTTTACACCCCCAGTCTGATTCTTTCCTCTTCTGCTTCATTCATCCTGAAATTCAGTTTGCTTTACCTGCCCCAGGTGGGAAACAACTGCCTGGAATGTTCTGAGAATAAAAGGAAAACCTGAAAAAAAATACAGGTGACAGGGTAACTGCTGCTTAAAGATTGTTTCTTTTCAGATGCTAAAAAACCACACAGAGGTGCTGGACTGCATTTTTCACCCTTCATTTTTCATATAGAAAACATGAAAACTTTTCTTTTGAACCATTTCAGACCTTAAAGCAGTGAAAGTCACTCCTGGCAAGGCAAGAGGTTCTCGAGTTGGATAAAAAGCCAGCACCTCATTTTATGGTTTCCATGTAGCTTTTAATATAGAAAACATCATAGTAGCCCCATGAAACTGTTGTATTTCTTACAGAAAAGTGGCTTTTCTTTTTTTACATTTTTTTTCTTTTTTTCTTTTTTTTTTTTTTTTTTTTTTTAATTTTTAAATTAATATCCTGCTTGGAGATTAGGGGAACGATACCTGAGTCCTACTCACATAAATGAAAACAGAAATGCTTCTGAAAATCTGTTCTGTGTTAAAAATCAGGAAGAAGTATCTGTTCTGCCAGGACTATTCTGCTACTATCAGATTTTTTTTTAATTGCTAATCCCTGATATTTTTCATTTGCTGTGCATACCTAAAAATTGGATCTTCTAGAGCATAAAACATAGGTAAAAATGAGACAGCTGTGAAAAATGTCAACCTTATGGATAAGCTTCAAATGTGGGACAGTTTTTTTTCTCTACCTGAAGGCCTATAATCAAAACATGATTGCATCTTATATTGTGTTGGAAATTTTTTAAACTTATGAATTTTTATTTCCTTTCTCCTCTTGAGCAGCTTGAATTGTTCTAAATAAATGCATTCCTTTGTCATGAAAAGGTTCCATCTTAATTCAAAATGCGCTATTTATTTCCATGAGCTCTTTTCTTCTTTGTTATTTTCTGCTTGGAGAAGATAAACTTTTGGGCCAAGTTCTTCTCTTCTTCCTTGGCTTCAGGCAGAGCACAGCCCTGTATGTTCAGCTTTTAGGATTCTGGGGAGGTTGTCATCCTCCCACCAGGAATTATATCCATGAACAGCTGGAGTTCATTTCTTCAGGAGAAAAGCAAATTACATGGCTGTAATTCTTCTTCTCTGAAGAAACCATTAAATACAGATCTTCCCTCATCTTTTCACTCTTGCACCAAAGGCTCTCAGTTTATAGGAAGGCTTTTGCACATCTCAGGGTTTAGCACAGAAATACTCATTTCATGCCCTCAGTGAGAGTCTTTAGAGTCTTTTTTGAATGGTCTCTCTTGAAGAGTGCTCTGTCACCTGGGTTAGACCCTGAGAAGTCAAGATCTGTATTTAATTCCACTTTTGTAGAGCATTCCAGGTGAGTATTTACTGTGCCACGTCACCAGTGGTTTGAGCCATGTGGTGTTTCCATGAGCCTGAGCTGAGGAGCCCCTCGTGCCCTGCCCCACGTGCAAACTCACCTCACATTTTATTTGCTGTGATTTACCTCGGATTCACTGTGAGATTTGCACTGGACATGTAATTCTGCTGCCAAAACCAAAGCTCTCCAACCTTGTGGGGACTACTGAACACTGCCCAGCCCTGGGTGTGCACAGAGAAACGGCACCAGGGCTCAGACAGAACAAACCTGGGCTTTGTGGAGGAAAATTCACTGTGATAATTGCACAACAGTAACCTGGGACCCCTTTTCCAGCTGGTTGTGGTTGATTATTCCCATAAAAACACACAGGAAAATAAAAAATTATTGCCAAAGACAAGATTAAGGGAGGGAAAACATCCATATTATTAAATATACAAATTGGTTTATTCATAAGTCTGACCACAGCAGAAAATCATAAATTCATTCTAGTGCTTCCCACTTGGAAAATTT